CTAGACTGACACTGATTGTTATCCCCAACATCTTACTGTTACAGCCACGGAGGTATCAACTCGACTTATGAAGAGTACAAGACCTCGGTATCGATGGAGCACAGAGAAACTAAGCAGAGAGAATTAAACAGTTCTTTGGACGAACTTGAACTGACTATATTCCCAGTCTTTGGCAAATCCTAGAATAAAATTAACTGTTGGTGTCCAAGACATGCATTGCTTCTCGATCTGAAAGCTGATTCCGACTTTGTCTACCAACATATGTTGAAGTGATATCTGGTAGTGAAGGCTAGAAAAGTATGTTGTGCTTACTAAGGCACTCATGTTGCCCTGTAAAATTTTACAGAAGTAACCAAAACCATTGTTTTAGGTGTACTGATAGGGTTATATTTGTTAGAATTCGACTGATTTTTGGCATCAAGAAGACATACAATACAGTGAAGACTGGTAAAATTCAATCCAATAAAATCGTGTACAAACATTTGAGAGTTTAGCATACATTCGTTTCTTTGCGAAAATAAGATAATGCAGAAAGACTGGCACGGATCAAGAGCTTCAGTAAGTAACTATCAGCTAGTTAGTCTCAGTGACTGAATTGTGTCATCAGCCCACACTAGGTGTGACTTCACATGGTATACGAAAAATGTCTCAGCTAACTGAGTTCTTACCATCAGAAGTGGTGTGTATAAACTCTAAGTATCATCAACACACCTCTCTCGTGATTGACTAGAAAACCAACATAGACCCTTGCACAGAAATGAAGTCAACGCATGTTGAAACAGAAACAGTGGAATAATAAAGTATATTTAAAGTATGCCACTCGACGAAAACCTGAAAGGACAAATTATCATATCACACATCGCAAAAGTGCTACTTTAAAACACTCACTTAAGCATTTCAGTGAGACACTGTAAAAATACTGGTAAGCACACGTAATTTAAGTTGAACTAGCGGCTGTACTAGGCACTATATTTATATTCCAACTCGTGCATATATTCATATAACACCTATTGGCTTAGCGATCTACGATTTCGTACACCGTTTTTATCAAGTTTGCTCCCCTGTAGCCACTAGGATAAAATTTCTGTTTCTGTGTTTTCCAGATCACATAGGAAAATACGACTGTAATCAAACTACGTTGAATTTATAAATACAAACGGTAAGGAGTTTTCACACTAAAACTAAGATGACGGTAACTTTTAAAAACTAAAAACACATTACAAAATTACAAACACATAATAGTGCAGTAAATGTGAAGTTGAAGAAAGTGACAGCCAGTGGTTTAACCATGCAGAAAGCAATTGAAATATACCCACAAACTGCTGATACTCAATTGATCAATTTCTTCCATAATGATCATAAAGTCACGCACTTGAACTCCAGTCAACACAGTGCAATTTCTATCAGTTCTATCTGTAATCATGTAGAGTTGAGTAATAAATTTAGATATTTGACTATTACATCTACCTAAGTCTGTATCCTTGGTTGATGCATTCAGCTCTCATAAAAAGTGAGGCTTATTTCCTAGTGCACAAACTCACAAATGGTTATGAATTTCACTTCACTTCTTTCACCTTCCATGAACATGTAAACAACTCACAAACTATTACAACCTAGGTCGAATCAATCATGGGACAGGGAAATTTGAGGTTTCTAAAACAGCTGTAAATAAAGATAAAATGCAAAGGTAGATAGTCATTAAAACACACACGGTAATCGATGCTGAAATATGGTGATAAGTGTTTGACACAGTACTGAAAATACGCTTCAGATACAATGCAACAGCGAATTGGCTTATCAAATAACAAATCCACTTTGCACTAGTTTGAAATATCTTCCAATGGTTTTTACAAAGAATCACTAAGTGGTTAAAATGACTTCACACACTTTTTGTTGGACATGCCTTCATAGCATTACCTGTGTAGTGGAACAACAATAATTATGTTGATACTAAGCATCGGATGTGACCTATGTAGACCGAACACTCGGTGTTGGTAGAAGTCTGCAAGTATGCGGAGTTATTACCTTCCATGAGGAGTAAAGTTAGAAACACGTTGAAAAAAAAACTAAGCAGATCAGACTAAGAAGTTGGAAGTATCATCAGACCTTGCGCAAGAGGTGTGTCACATTGCAGGATTATGCGCCTCGTAACTACGAAATATTTTACCCTTAGAACCACTTTACAGTAACTTTGAAGATCAAAGAATCTTGTTCCTCAGTCCCAATTCAAAGTCCAAGAGTATAGTGATACACAGTAACTCCCCTGAGGTTACAAGTAGCATATGCACTACTGCATAAACACATGTGGCTAACTAAAAACTACATATACACAACAAGAAGACATTTCATCCATGTTTTCTCCTCCCTATGTATCACCTTTACGTACAACAACTTGAGCACATACAATTCTTTGCAACGTTCTATCTTGTTTACCTAATCCTCTGTTTTCGAAACACATCGCACTTCTAGAAGAGCAAGGCATAAGGTAATGAATTCTCTAACAACTGACCAACTTTTCTAACTGACTGCCCAGAGTAACGCTGTTCACTTATTCTTCACAAAAAACAAGCGAATCTGTCGACGTACTCAAACTGACTGCCTTGATATTCTACCTCAGACCACCCCCTAATGACAGAAAAGTAAACAAAAGGCAGTCTAAGGGAGAGGAACTACGGTCAAATTTAAGTCCGGTGTGAATGTGCCTTATCGGCAGCAACCTACACTAACAGTTACCCTAAACCAACGATGATACTGTCCTCGTAATCGAGACATACACGAGGATCACACATAACAAATACTTACACTGGGTACTGAATCGGTTCAGAACGACTGACTACACCGACAGCACTGCAGAAAGGAATAGAAAAATGAGTCATATTCAGCCTTCACGTGACATTACAGAAGACCTACATAGTACTATCGATGATATGAGTTTACAGATAAGAAGGTTTACCTCCTAAAAATTACTGGGTTATAGTGGTGACTGGAAAAACGTCAATACAACTAATACGGTCACCAATAAACCTGTGCGGATTGTGGTAAGACAAGTCGCACAGCCATGTGTTGTGAGTACGAAAATGAATAGTTTATTAAATAACTGGCAGTCAGCAAACTGCGACATATATACATATATGCAGCCTAAAAAACAACCAACTCTAACAAGGGTTACTTTTATGGTTTACATTTAGTTAATAATCTTATTCGTAAAATCCCTGCTGTTTTAGGAATGACCATTTAAAAGCTAGTGATAACAGGAAAGGGAGATACTAATAGTTTAGGTCTCCAAAAGCGGTATCAGGCTCTAGAGAACTAACATAATCTGAGATCTGCTCTATTCATCAGATCTCGTTATTCTCGATGATGATAGTGATCATGTAGTACTGCTAGAGTTTGTGATATAATACAGACCAGGTATAGTCCTATCCTACTATTTGAAGTGAAAACGTATCTACCAGAAAGTGGTCAGCTAACTCTGGTTCATCTATGATTGATGAATGGATGAAACTCGAGTATAACCAAAACGGTTACGGATAAAGTCATAGGTCGGTGACTCCTCACACGCCAACAGAATCACCCCCCACCCGCCACAATAAGCAAACGGAGATTAGAAAGTTTACTCGGCATAAAAATAGGTTAGATAAATCGCTCGTTTCCAGTGGATTAAAGCAGTGATGTCTTGGCTTCAAGATTTACAAAAGCATATGAAATACAACCAGAGGTTTTCTTAAAAGGTTTTTCTAGCATATAAAGATTACATAGAATGACACTTTCCGAATTCTGCCTCTTAACAATACCCTGATATGCACTGGTCAAATCGTATATTATCACTTCAACCAATTATTCCCTCAAACCTGCACTGAGGACTTAACAAACATTCCTGAGTGGTTTGAGAAGCCAATACTTACAATCCAAGCCATAGAAATCCTAGTGGCCCGGATGAAATCCACCCGCAACGGTCAGCATCATAATCAAAAGGTTGTCGTGGCCGTTCAATGTCACCGAATCAATCGCAATCTCCAAGGGACGTGAAGGAACGTATCAATATGATCCTGGAAATGGGAATTAAGAATGCCATTAAGGAGCATCGTCCTATCAATCCAACTAGCTTACTAATCAATATAGAGAACTGTTAGTATGCCGAGGGGAAGGAAAAACATGGTTTCAAGGTTGATCATCTTGTCTCACTCAACCTCTCCAAAGCAAGAAGCTCCTATTGGTTTTGCTTTTGTTTGCCCTACTAGTGTCATTGTTAAGACGTTTGAAAAAGGCTTTTATCAAATTTAGAAAGGGCTAATGAAGAGAAGGGTAAACGACTGGATTAAAGACGTGCCTCATAATAAGGCTTCAAGTCCCGTTCCTCTCTCTCAGTTTTGGTGAAATTGACTTAGCTCTACATGAACACCCATAAATATTAGTAGGCTAGTGTAAATTTTCCTGAGGACTAATAGAAGTCATTCTCAAAATGCTGCACAGAGTACTACCAAGGATTACTGCGTAACAACTTAGAATTCAATATAGGATGTGAACTCAAGTCTCTAGCGAAACGTGAAACAATGTAATTGTGTTGTTTATATGAAATACGTATTTCAGAAAGTATTTAGACGTTAAAGACTATAGTGGTCAATGTTACCCAGCAATCTCTTGTATTCCCATACACTGAAAAATGAACCACACCTATTGTGTGACTAACTGAGACTTAAGAAGCTGATGACTGATATTGGCATACCATATAACTAGCATCAGCCAACCGCCACGCCTATGTAGCAACCATCAAAAGTCAGACATTTGTTGTAGCTAAAGATTTGTGACACTATTACAATAAGTGGTGAGAATGACGTCCTCGTTTAACACATTCAGAAAAAATTAACAAACCAAGAAATTTTGCTTGTTACACTGAGTCGAAAATTTAGAAATACCGAAGTGGGATCGCTAAGACACAAATGTCTACTGAAGAGCGGAAATCGTGGAGGTATTTGATCAATAATAGACGCAAAACTCACCTGTAAGCGTCCATCTAAGGAGCGTGGTATTGTAACACATCTCGTGGATGGATCTTGACTAACGAGAGCACGTTCTAGCTCATCTAATTGAGTTCCATTTTTTAGCCTTTTGACCAGTGACTTCACAGCTTTCTCTTTCCACTTTTCTTCCTTGTCAGAACCTTCTTTAATGTAACTTATCAGACGCTTAACAACTGGAGGTGGACTTGTAAAGAGACTCATTATTGATAGTTATATCAACTAAATAATGTTATCACTCGTCGTGATTATGTAACTGGGATGACTTATAAATTTCCAAACATATATCCTTAGTTATTCTAATAAAAAAATGATCCCCCGGCCAGTTAAGGTCAAACAAAGCGCCTTATGAAGACTGCTTGAGAGTGCAAATAATTTACAGCAGTTAAAGATTCAGATTCCCATTCCAGCTTTATTAATTTTGGGTGGGAGATTTGAGGCACACATAAGTCTTTTGCTAGTAAGCTTTTCTCGCTTGTCTAAACTGTTCATGAATGAGTCAACTGAAAAGGCTGACACCACTTCTTATGGTTGTTGGTTCGAGGAGTTTATGACTTCCTGTGATAACCAATACTCCACTGCTATATAATTCTTCCTTGGCTTTTGAACTCTCGTGCTTTGTCCTCTGAGGTACTCTAACTAGGTGGGAAGGATAAGAGAAAATAGATCAGATTTGTAGTCATTGTTTAAAACTTTATACATTTGTAGCGGTAAAAAATCTCCCAAAATTATTGGCCACAGCACTCATCACTGAACACTGGATGCTGACCCTCACTGTTTAAGTCAATTTGTTTAGCTGAAGGCTTCCGGCCAAACATCCCCGCCATTTGGTACTACTTCGTGTCACTTTCGTTCGTTCGTGCACGATCCCTAGCTAGCTAAGCATTATCTCGCACTCCGATTTGATCCCGAAATATATTTCGTAATTTGGACGATCAATTCTGGTGTTTTGCTATGCTTTTAGTCTACGCGGAACGAGTACTAAAGAAGTTGTGGGTGATAGATCTTGCATTAATATACCTCGTATTATCCGTGAACGTCAATATCGTCAGCACCTAAACATTGTAATGAGATCTCCTCTCTACCTACGACACGAGAAGGAGAAGAGATTCGAACTGTTTGGTCGTTCGTAGTATGACAGATTCACTATTCTGAGAACATTACGCATTGCTTTCCTCTGGACCCCTTCTAAAATTTACCACTCCGCTTAAGACACGGACTGACGGCCTGGATGCAGTTGTCCAAGCACTGACCTCCCCAGGGAACCTCTCATGCCTGACAAACTCTTTCACAGAAATATAGAGATGGATCAAGCCAAAGGACGACAGAAAACCTGTTGACGTCAGTTTTGCGGGTTCGAATTTTCCCTCACGCAATCAGAACAGGTTCTTATAAATGTTAAATTGTAAACTGTTTACTAAGGTCACCATCAAAGTTGAGCGACAACCCAGACTTCGTTCTGTTTCCTGCTGATAGTTACAGTCAAGCAGTGAACAGCGTATATCTGTGTGAGTGTTATGCCGCCACGTGATTGTACGCTATTTCAGGAAGAGAAGAATCCCCTGGGAAGATGCAAAATGGTATCAATTACAGTTACTGATAAAACATCATTGAAAGTGCATCTACAAGATATAGAGAAGAAGGAACTGGAGACTCCTTGGAATGATAGTATACATTCGCAATGTTTAATGCTAACCATATTGGTCTGAGCATGGAAACTATGATGTTTTCCATGAAGATATAGCTTTGTTCAAACATTGGTGTTGTTGTGTTTTTAATCAAAGCAACCAGACTTTGGGCAAGCAACAAATATGAACAAAGAGCAAGTTTTAGCTTTAATAAAGGCCTAGGTAGTTAAGATAAAGTAGAGCATGATAGTGCGTAAATAAAGATTATGGTGAGGTAAGTAAGAGGTATTTCAGTGAAAAGTGAATCCAAAGATCTGAAGGTTTAGGACCTATGGAACAAAGTGATCTGTAAGATGTTTCATGAATTTCTGTAGGGCCCATGGGGTAGCAGCTTGACAAGAAGCTGAGCAGGCTCGCAGAGGTAAGCGAGAAAAGCACATCTTAAAAGGTTTAGATCTGTACAACGCTCACTGCTTTTGTTACGGATCTAGACTCATGTTTAATTCTTGAGCGATAAATTGTGTTCGAAATGTCACCAGTAAATGTTACTGTGTGACAATTCGTAACTTATTCAAAAGAAAATTTTACCTTATGGGGCACCTCCACAACTCAGTAACTCTGCAAGATCTTGCGAAAGTGACTAAATAACAATAAAGACCATAATGTAAGGCGCTTGGAATACGAAGGTGTGATTTATGAGGATCCACAGATTATCATTGAACTCCTCAGCCAGTAGATTTCCAATGACACCAAAGCGTATCCGTCCCCAATTCTCGACATAAACTGCGAAAATAACTACAAGTTAGGCGAAACCAACTTCAATGTACAAAATATAGTCTCAGCGGTGAAGACATCAAAGGCTAACGGTGGTTGTGGGATAGACGATGTACCATCTACCACCTACGGTTGCACTGATATAGTAGCATCACTATTTAGAATATTTACCCACTCACTGGAGACTGAGACCTACCCTAAAATATGGAAAAACACATACATAAATGTATTGCCTAAGCATAAGGCAGAAGACAAAACTAGTACATGCAGTTATAGGCCTATCAATATAACACCTGCCATTTGTCAGACTGCTTTCTAAAACATAAACACATCAACCAGTCACAACACGGATTCCTCAAGGAAAGATAATGCGCCACTTGCCATATATACGTTTTCGACCAAGTCACCTATGGAAGAGATAGGAGAGAACTAGTAATTATCCCCTATTTTGATATAAGGAAAGAGTGCGACAGGGTTCCACATAGTCTGCTAGTCAGCAGCCTTTGCTCATTAGGGATACGCAACCTCCACCACAAGTGGATAAAATCATTTCTTTGGGACAGAAATCAGACAACAAAAGTTGGCTCGATGACCTCCAATCCTAGACCAATCAGCAGTGATGTCATATAGGGGAGTGAAATAGGCCCCCTCCTTTTCATTATATACATGATAACAATATATTCTCATTTTTTGTACATGAGGACCCAGTTTACAGGCATCATCAATTCGATAAATTACACATACGATTAGTAAATATAGTTAGTAATGATAATATAATGAGGTGCATTTTTATTCCTACCTATGTAGGACACACCAGTTGTACAGGCATGGACAAGTATCATTTAAATAACATAAATTTAATTTATGGTTAAATTACATGGTTGCTGTGATTTTGTCTTTAGTTTGTTGGAAAAATCTGATAACTAGTGATCCAATGGACCACATCAAGAAATATAGACATCTTTACTTCGCATTGACAAAACAAACCCAAGTATGTGTTGGATGGATTACAGATACATGGGAAAATAAATAAAGCTTGAAGTCAATTCCCTCATAAAACAATAAAATGCATCTTATAATAATATATTTCCACTTTATGCACATGAGGGACTCCAGCTGACAGGCATCATCAATATGATAATAATGCACACATGGAGTAAACATGTTTAAAATTTTTCACTAACACAAGGGGTGATGATATAAGTTATAACGTGTTAAATTTTCCGCGCCTCAGGTTTTCTCGTCTTTCATTGGCTGGAACAGTGGCGGCTAATTTTATATTTGATTTGTCCTAGGTAGGTGATATCGTGTGCAGGTTCGTGTGGTTGAGGTATGCGTTGTTTACAAGCATATTTGATGAAAATAAATGTAAAATTTGAGTAATCTAACGTTTTCTTTTACTTCTTTCGTGCATATACAAGGCTTGGTTTATCATACACTCGGTTTGTTGGCCTATCGGTTGCTGGCGATGTCAAGGAACCCGTGAGTTCTTGGACTTTTCTCAATTTTAGGTTATACGTGTGGCATTTTATTGATGGATATTGCTAAGTGATGTATTTCCATATTGCTTTTTCTACAGAATTATATTTAAACAGTTGCGAGACAGATGGATACTTATTGACAAAGCCTTTTTAGTTTATTGCAGGTAGGCAATGCACACGTCAGTGGAATTTTCGGTGAAGTAATGCTGGGAAGGCGTTTCTTTAGCTGGGAGGAATTTGAGAATTCATTATGAGAAATACAAAAAAGCAAGGAAGTCATTTGATGCTAACAATGTAGTTGTTCTGCACTCACCATGTGGTTGCCGCAGATTACGCGGGAGAAGTAATGGCACAAATGGACCATTTTCTTAATGTGTAAATTAACTACTTTCGTATTACAATAAAAATAAACTTTTCCTATTAACATTGTTGTCTTTTGTTCGTGTGTTCGTGTTTGGAGTACGGCATGCTAGACCGGTGCTCCCTAGGATATGAATTCGTTACTATACTTAAGTGCAATTCTGTAGGAACACTATCCATCGATAAAAGTGGTGAATTATAAGTACTTCATTAAAGTCTAAAAATCTGCCTAAAGTTACGCGATTACGTCTCCTAGTCATAGGTAAATCTGTAGGGACTAATGGGAAAAATACTTAAATTCAGTATTTGAAAAATAAGAATAGAACTTACGTCCTGCAGTTTAGTTCGATTTCGTTTGAGGTTAAGTGTAATCACAAGTAGTGTATTACTATTATTTCACTTAAAGCATGATGTCAATCCATATGACTACGGGTGCTAACATATAGTGTAAAATGAAGTCTACACGAGACGAGCAATTTAATAGGTTGAGCTGTAGCAATATTAGTACGGTTTCGCTTACGTTTAATTATGCCTACAATTACTTTCTCAGGTTTCAATGATAGGTCAGGCCTCCATCTCGTCATGATGACAAATTTAGTTTCACTGAGATAGAATAAGAAAAGTATGGTAAGCAGGATGTTAAATATATTTAATGAAAAATAATAAGCGAATGTCTTTACACAATTGTTTTTCGTAATTACTTCAGGGATGCGTAATTGCTGTGACCAGGTTGACTGACTTCACCTAACATCTGCAAGTAAGTGAATAAAGTGTAATTTTTAAATCGTTGAAGTTAGAAATAAGTAATGTAAAAGTGAAACGCTTTATGTTTTCCTACCTTTGCTGAAAAAGGTTCATTCTCCTTTCTCATTCTTTGGTCATGACAGCATTCTTCTGCGGTTTTCACTGCCACACACATTGTTCCTCTTCTAAAGTATAGCACCAAGCAAATAATAATTTAATATGTCGATATAAGAATAAAACTTGGGCACTGTGGTAGAGTGTAAT